CTTTCCTTTGATCAAGTATGGAATAACAACATATTGATTAAGTTAATTTTTCCTTGTCTTGCATATGGTGTCCATTTTAGCCTTTGAACGTCCACAGGTGACATGGTTTCTGTTAGTTGGTACAGGTCTTTGCTTGTGATTCTGTAGCGAACTTTCACAAGGTTCGAATAAGTGTGGTTTTCATAAAGATCCATCGGCTTTACTTGCTCAAAGCCATTTTAACCATTATTCTGAGAAAGCAGTTGTATACAATTGACAATTTGGCATAAATATGGCAGTTGAAAAAAAATTCTTACTTTTTATACCAATATGTTTATCTTCAGAATTATTCTGGGAAATTTAACTATACAGTTGACAGTCTCTGAAATGGGTTAGGCGTCGTGCATGACATCCATGTGAAAATCTCGATCTGACGATGCTATTTAAGAACTTGACTCGAGTTTTCAGGTTAATGTTTTGGTTTTTGTATCAATTTGCGGTATTGGAAGACGCTACCTCAGGCACAGTTATGTTCAATTCCCTTATAATCCAGACTATTTTTTATAACTCGTTCATACACCGAAGCATTTAATTTGTTTGAAGTGCAAAGGAAAGAAACAACAAAATGATACCGTATTTAACAGCATATTACAGGAACATTAAACAGTAAAACAAATCCAACGTCTAAAGTAATGAACAAATAGTAAGTAACTAAATCTTTAAGATCACGAGTTCCGTAACTCATTAGAGTCGTAGGGGCACCACCTGTACTACAGCCGTGGCATTGGTGGTGTTTCTTGGGCAAGGTAGCCTGAGAGAGCCCATCCTTCTCTTGGCTGCTTTTGAATTCAGAGTTTTACCTTTTCCTAAACCGGTTGTCATCCAAAGCTATAGGATCCAGTCTGTCCTGCTATTTACACAGAGGACAAAAGAGATGGATCCATACATTTCCCAAGCACGTAAATGAATGAATTCGACTTGAATTCGGACTCGGTTCTCCGATTCATCAGCTACTCTGCTATTATCTATTATTCCACCGTGCCGTCCGAACTGAATCTCACTTCTTATTTTATATATCGTATCCATTCAGAAATTGGACGAACATGACTCTTCAGTTTCTTATCTTTGTATATCTAGGCAATATTTGTCGCTTTACTATTCCTTACAGTCTATGTTCCGATAATAACTCCCCATAAACATCCTATCCTTTGTATCTCTAAGCAATATTTGTTTTCTTCTTATCCTCCGCAAACCATGTTCCACCATCTATTTACATAAACTCGTTAGGTAGGTTATCCGATATCTCCCTCTGCCCCATTTACCATCAATATCTCCTGTGAGTATCATATTTTCCAATCTCTCTTTCCTCATTATATATCCAAGTCATTTCAGCTGTCTTTTTCTGATCCTAAGCACGAGTGTCCTTTTCGTTTACCTTTTCCTTCAGCCTCGTAATTCGCATGTTACACCCACAGCATTCCCATCATGCATCTGTAGAGCCAAATCTCCGATGCGTCAAGTCTTTTTTTCATATGTGAAGGAATTTTACTGCTATACAGGAGGATTGATATTAGAGAGTAGTTCAGCATTATTTGTTTCTAACAAAAATTTCCCGTTTCTTAATACTTTTGTTTAGCTTTTAGAAGGCATCTTCAGCTACTCTAATACATCTTCGTATTTCAGTATCACATTATTCTGTCGTCTGTTATAACATATCTATAATAGTTAAACTTGTCTACTTGTTTAATTCTGACCTGTCTAATTAGTAGCCAACATCTTGTCCTGTCCATCTAAAAAACGACGATACAATCTGTCCTTTCATCTCACATTCCTTCTTACCTACTTTATTTGCTTTCTGATTTAAATATACTTTTTCTTTTTTTATTCAAACACTTAAAGTATCAGCGATTTTGTAATGTGTTACCTCTTAATTACTTTTGTTCTCAGGCCCAACCTGACCCGAGGTCGTAGTACTGTTAGGATCCCAGCTATGGGCAAACAGAAACCCCCCAAATAGGGTCAAAACACTATGAAAATATAAAAAATACATTTTTATAGTAAAGATATATTTACCAGCAGTATATTTTAATAGTAAAAAACAATAATTTTCAGCAATAGATTTTAATAATAAAAATACCTCCAGCAATTGATTTTAATAATGAAAAATATAATTATAAAAGAAAATTACCAAAGCACCCAAGAAAAATTAAATCTTGGCATTAAATGACCCATAAGGAGTTAATATGCCGTTAAACAAACAAACCAAATATTTCGTAATTTGGAAAGCCAAATTATGCTGTCTGATTTCAGCAAATTCGGTTAGATAAAATCTAACACTATCAAATCAAATTAAAAAAAATATTTCCCTCATTATAAACATATACAAATTGTAAGTTTATTCATCTCTCTTTATGTGCTGTGTGGTTTGACGGCTTGTGGGATCATGGCTTCCTTTTTTGTAGCACTCAGCAATACTTCCTCATTTATGATCCCACTTTGGGATATTTGTTCTACCCATTTA